CAGAAAGATGTGGTAGTACTTTATAGGCTCAGTTACACTTAAATTATACATTATCATATTTAATTATGTTGGTTTTCAACCTCACATGAAGAGAGCTTTATTACATACTAATTAAAAACAGTGTATAATTGCAATCATAATTGGGTTGAGCAGTTACAAGTAATAACTATCTAATTTATTGTAAAATCATGCGAGTGGTTTGTTTTCCTGCAGGACTTTCAATGTATGCTCCACGTGATCTGCTGACTGATAATGGAAAACTGACATTCATCCTTTTAGCACTTCTTGGAATTATTCAGGTTTGTCGGGAACGAGCAGGCTTTAAAATGGCATTGAATAGGTGAATGGAAATATTCTATGGTGCAACAAACGCTATTTCAAGGGCCTGCTTCAGTTCAAGGCCCTTCAATAAAACAAAAGCATGATTTTATTTTGTGTTCAGCTGCATCCTTCACACGAATCTAGTCTAAAAACACCATTCAACAAGACCTTCGGATTTGAAAACTGAGCTTTTCAAATAAACCCACGTTCAGGGTATAACACAACATGGACGCACCATTTTATCATGTTGCTGCACATGATTAATATTAATGCATAGATGTAGTTATTAAAATATCTAATAGCTTGATAATACGACTAAATATAAATGTTTTGAAATACATCTTACTGCACTGTAAAAAGTGATCAGTTGACTTAATTTTATTGCAACTGGTTTCCCCTCTTTTAATTTAAGTAAATAAACTTTATGCGTAATTGAACAAATTAAGTAATGTGAACTTGACAATTCCACAACTTTCGACACAATACACGTGGAGTGTTGTCTTGACAACAGTTGAGGGTATATTTTGGAGAATGGCAGCAGGAGTCTCTGAGGACACATCTGTGCAACCGTATCAGTTTGAACCGGAGTCGGACCCGGAACAAGATGACGGCCGCAAAGTAGTTCGACAATTAAGGCTTGAACAGGACTTTTCTGAATGGTTGGTTAAAGCTGCAGTCCGCAGTTTTTCCTCTTTGTCGTCATCTCTGTTCGAAATCTGCAATTGCAGTTATTCGCGGAATGATCAACTTTACGTGAGTTGTACTTCGAAACGGCACAGCGCGTGTTGTGCCGAATTTCGACCCCCGCCAAATTATTACCCCCCTAGTATTGGTAGGTTTAGGATTAGTTGTGGGGGAGGGGTTAGGATTCGGCAATCAGGTACTGACTTCAACGAGGGGGGTAATAATTTGGCAGGGGGTCGAAATATGATATTCCGATATGTATCCTTGTTATCGCATGGGTCCGGTGGCAGTCTCTTTTTTTCTGTAGCCACTCCGAACGAAGTCTTTTGCATTTTGCATTGAATCTGAATCGTTTGAACCTTTATGGATCCGCCATCAAATTGATAAGTTTAATTATATCAAGTGCTGTGAGAAAAGGCTATAAATCTCCACCTCCAACATCCTCACACGCAATATAGCTTATACTAGCCGAGACTCCTTCTTTATGTGTACAGATGTGACGTAATGACGCAAAGACATGCTCGAATCTCACGCGGAAATACACCAGTACCACTGGAATTAAAAACATTGTTACAAGCTTACCGCTCTGAATCGAGCTAAGGCAAGCAGATAGTTTTGAACACTGGCTGGTTATGCATTTTCTCAAATATGTATTTTGGATCATTTTTAACCCCAAAAAAGCTACGGACTGCAGCTTTAACAATGTCACTTTGATCTATCTTTGTGTACTGGCAGGGTAGAGTAACTTAAGTGAGATGTACGAACGCTATGTGTTTACTGATGTATACGTACTCAGTTTGTAATAACACAATAACCGTTATGGTTGTTCATTATAAACGTGGGATTATGAATTAGATTGAGAACGTCGTATAGAAACCATGCCGTAATGTACCGAGTGTAAACCTTAGCCGCATTCATCGTGAAGCGATTTGCAAAGATTAATATACAATTTTACACACTTCTTCTGGAGGTGCAGCAGGGACACAAATAGTTGGTACCGATTCTTTTTTCAGGAGCAGCTTCTTAGCAAAACCAGCTTTATACTGACCCTCGTTTATAAAGCAGTCTGGGTGAGAAATGATTCGCGAATCGCGCAAACATGAAAGCATTGACGTTGCTCGTGGGGAATAACGTTATTCCATTCGAAAACAAAACTGAGCCACTGCGTCTTCAGCGTTTCGGATTTAGGAACATTAAAATGACTGTGTTCGTTATTGCACCCAAGAACAGAACACCACAATCGCTTAGACGCCATTCTGCTCCAGCGTATCAACAATGGCGGACTATGATGACCGGTCGCTCAGGGCGGGTCTGTGTTGAAACGCTGCTGTCAATCAACAATTGTGGGAGGGGCGTCGGACCGTGTGACGTCACAAAAACGAACGGCTCAATTTGAGACGGGAAAACATAAGGAGATTAAAACAAAAACACTGGATAGATTTTTATCATTATATGATGGTTGTGTACAGGCACTGCCAACACACATTTCAGTACAATCAACTTGAAAAAGTGCATGTACCATTATATAACGCCTTTAATAATATTTTGAATTAGCATTTATATTTTCAGCTTTCATTCTAATTTTAGTTTTAATAATTTGACGTGCTTGTCATTTATTCGTTTTATAAATCTATATATTTTTTTATTTGGCTTCATTTTTATTCCAGTTTTAGTCATTTTAGTGCTTCAACTTAAAACCTTATTTTAGTTAAGTGCCAAGGCAACACTTATTTTATTATAACTTTAGATGAAAAACTTGCTTAAGTTTATATTTTATTTAAGCTTTGCTTTATTTCAATTAACGAAAAAGGATTTCAATAGTTTTAGCCAACAACAATGTGTGAACTAGGCTTGAGATAAAGAATGCACACAATCTGAGCCTTAATCGGCATGTGCTTGTGTGTGTGGGCTGTGTTCAGACAGGTAACTACACTAGCTGTCCTTCAAGCACAGAATGTTGAAAATGTGAGTGTCGTAATCATAGGAAACCTTGACGAGCACAGACATGGATAAAAAAGAGAAAATGACAAAGGGAGTTTCACAAAACACTAGTTTGCCATCAATCAGGAACTCAAATTGTAAAAGCAGATGCAATATGAAGAATCTGGAAACACAATTCAAAGCAGACAAAGAAAGAAACAACACCAGGTTTTTTTTCCCCAACATTTTTTGTATTTCATTTTACTTTCATTTTTAATGGAGCGATACATCAACATAATTCGAGATTTATAGAGGCCTCGCAATACAAGTACTTGACACAAACTCCTCCTTGCCCTCTTTTAATAGCTATTAAGAAAAAAAGATCTTAAACATTTTTAGTAGATTCTGCAAGATATGTTTGGAATTTGCAACAGAAGCCCTCCTATAACGGGGTCAGTGGTCCTAACGCCCCAATTCCTCTCCCATATGAAACAAAACCCTGCCCCTTCCACCAGAAACCCCTGACTCTCACACCAGACATCCCCTTTTAAATTAAACATGAAGGAAACTAAACAAAATAATAGTTTGCAGAGGCTCATAACATAAAACAAAGACTTGAAGAGACAAACACTTAAAAAGAGGACACAAAAAGGTGGTCATGATGATCTTTTGGTACCCTTTTAAGGATGTAGGCCTCCCTCATATCGCAAAGAGTAAAGCGTCAACAGGTGTTTTTTTCTTTTTCTTTACATGACTGCGACACTGATTTGAGCACTCGCCTCTTCTCAAGCGAATGCAGAGGCAATGATCATATACAATCAGCAGTTGTTGTTTTTTGTCAATGATCAAAAGCCATATATTACATTAAAACACTGATTTTTCTTTGGATGAAATTTACTTTAAATACAGTTATGATAACATGTAGGTTTACCCTCGTCAAGTCTCGTATTACGATGCGCCATGAAAACGGAGTGTTGCGCAAGGCATACAGAAACTGAAATGCTTGCGGCGTTAAATAAAGCAAAAAATGGGCGAGCGACTGCCTCAATGCCTGCACACAGAACTCTCGCTATAATTATTAGCATGGCACATGACCTCAAACGTGTAGCGTATGGGAAGTCAGAGTCTTTGCGCAGCGAAATCTCCAGTCACCGGATTTTATGCAATGACAACGGTACAGTGTAGAAAAGAAAAGAAAAAAACGGAAACAAAATGTCTGAAAAGACGATTTGGTAAACAGTTCTCGCAAAACCTGTCCTTCTCAAAACACTCAGTATAGTAAAAGCAATCAAAATAACATTGTTTTTCTTTAGGTAAAAGCAAAAGATGAGGCTTTAGTCAATCATATGCGTGGAAAATGGTCCACTAGAGAATACAGGCGTTTAGAAGAGCGTTCTGCTCAACTATAGAAATACTAGCGCTGAAGATACTTACAAGTTTGTTGATGCAAACCTTTAAAGGTACAAAAATTAGACAAATTGAAAAACAATTAAATGGGGTTTAATGTTAAAAACATCCAACTGGTGGGCTACAATGGTTTTGTAGAAACAGAAAATAAAAAAGGCAAGCGAGACTTTTTCGGTTTAATTAATTTCATTTAGTCGAGATGAGACGGGATGTTAAGGCATGTATGCTCATTTTCTGAGATGCTTAACGTTTCACCTCATCCAGTCACATTTATCATTTACATTATGGGCGGCAAGAAAAATGTCTGTAAAATCATGGCAGTTAAACCGTGCCTTTTACCACTATGGTTCTAACAAAATGCGTCTAAAAGTGTTCAAAATCATGGCAGAGGCCGATAAAAGCGTAACTGACTACAAATCGAAGGAAAAAAAGTAAAGAAAAAAAAAAACAAGCTCCTCCAACCATCTTGCGGGATGGCTTTTGCTTTTTCACCTTATTGATTACAAATCAGTATAGTAATTTGAGTTATGAACAGGAAAATGAAAACAAATGAAACAAAGTAAACATTACATTTGGTTGAGGGAACACTTGAAAATGTACATGTACATATAAATGTGTCAACACTTGTTATTAATGCACTCCCCTTAGCTATAATTGGCATTATGAAGGTTTGTTTTTTTTCACATTGTTTCAATAAAACTTTTTTTGTTTTGTTTTGCATCAACAATTATCATACTTGCTTTGGGTATTCACAAATAAGCATTCTATATAATTATGTCAGCCAAAAAATTCCTTTGCCAAGCGCACAAACAACGATAACGTAATTCTGCCGAGCAAGTCTTGGTTGTTAAAAAAAAAAAGAAGAAAAAAAAAAGAAAAAAAAATGTCAGAAATAAATCTAATTTATAAACGTAAATTTACAAAATGGATTGTTTTTTTGTGTTTGTTTTTTTAAACTACTGAATCTAAGATGACCTTACACCACCCCAATGCTATGTCTATATATATATATTCTGTTTATGTACACATGTAATATTCATCACGTATGTATTCATTCATCTCATTTTTTCCACCATTACAGATCTTACATTTCTTATCATCTATATCAATAAATAAATAAGAACCATGGTTTGTTTTTCACTACGCCCTCTTCATGGTATTGTGCGATTCTCCCCAAAACGGTCCTGGAGAGTTTTGCATGTAGGGGGCATCACCTCTACCAAAAAGAGAGAGAATGAGAGGAAAACAGAGGGAGAGAGAGGGGAAAAAAAGAGAGACAGAAAGGATGAGGGAGAGTGCTAGGTAGCTGCTGGGTTACTACGCCTGTGCGTTGGTGCCGTTCTTGTCGGGGGAATTGGCTGCGTTGATGGAGTTGGCAGTGCCGTCTGGCTGCACGCTGTCCCTGCGCGGAGGCATTCGCTCGTTTATCCGGTCCAGTCCACGCGCTTCTTCGAAGCTTTGGATCTTGTGTTGAGGGTTGAAGCCTTGGATGGCTGGAAGTATGGAAGCACGTAGTTAGATAATGCTTATGAAGTGACATACAACAATGACTGTGTTTGCTTTCGTTTTGGGCATTACTGGTATCCTTGTGCATATTACCGTGTCAGTTTACAGATTACACTAGCCTTAAGATTAAACGAGCTGCGTTCACGCCATGTCGTAATTACATCATCAACACTATCACTGCCAAAGTCAATCTCTAGGGGACTGGTGGTACAAGTCATATCTCTCAGAAAAAAAAAGAAAAAAAAAAGTCTACAAGTTCTACAATGACGTGAACACTTTTTACAAGTTGGCATCTCGTAATCACGGGAATTACGACATGGGGTGAATGCACCGTAAGATTTGAGACTAGATTTTCAAATCCCAAAAGGGCTGCAGTTATCTTTTAAACTGAAAAACTGAAATTGCGATATGGATTTTTAAAATGTAAAGGCAGCGATTGAATTAAATAAATGTATGCACTAAGTGTTTCAGAGTGAAGTGTGTCTTTTACACGCAAACAGCTCAGTTCACAGGAAATGCCACACAAATTCAACTCTGAGCTTGGGTTGCTTATAACGTGCATTTGGGAACGCAACATGCGCCAGCCATCTTACCAAATTTGTAATGAGAAGCACTTTTAAACCGGCTATGCAGGCTTCCTATGGTTTTCCGCCAAAATAAAAGTTTGGTGGTTTAACGTTTGGAAATGAAGTAAGGGATAAATACTATCGTAATTTTACAGTGATATATTACAATAGTAACATTCATTATTTTGGTTAACATTTTTATTTAGTAATAATAAAACTACTATTTTATAGTAATATTGATATATAATCAGAAAAAGCACAGCAAACCTGGATCTTAAAAAAACAAGCTGAAGGAAAAATTGCAATTAGTGATTGCCCACCCACAAATCATGCAGTCCTACATTCCAACATTAACTTATTAGACATGAACATTTCCAGTCACTAAAGTCGCATTACAACTAAGAGAGGGCTGTTCTTCCCCAAACAGCTAAACAAACCGAGCATGAGAAAAGTAAAAAAAAAAAAAAGAAGTTGAGGCTGTACAGTAAGGGTACGACTAGTTCGGATAGTATTCACCAGAAAAACGCTGATGTACCCACGTGAAGCCTGACATTAAAAGGCAAAAACAGGCCTAGATTTGAGTTTATCTGTGCGCTCTTTGGTCAGGAAGTGAAACTGATAAAAACAAAGATTCAGTCTCATGCTGTGGTCTCCTCACACCCCTGCCTCTGGCTTCCCCCTTTAAACAGCTGTGACTGAAGCGCTGGCGTTCACGATTGTGAGACTTTTTGAAACGTCCTCTCTCAACGGCCAGATCTACCAAAGTTTATCCTGAGATAAAGAGATAGTTTACCCCAAAACAGAAATACAGTCATCATTTCATTGTGTAATTTTTATCCGTTTAGTGGGGCAGAAATGACATGTCACCTTTAAATGCAAACAGACAAAATGCAACAAAACACCACAAAGGAACAACAAACAAATATCTCCACGTGCAAATCAAACTAAATTTCTAGCTTTAAAAGTAACAAGCATGTGAACTAGATACACACAAATAAATAATGATATTGGCGACTACAAAAGGACGAAATGCACACGAACGACAGACAGTAAATCACAGGGGGAGGGTAACAGACAGACAACACTGAGAAGGTTTCACAGATGTCTTGCATACCTTGTGCTTCCTCTGCTTCTATGGTGGCTGTGTAAGCATGAGTAGTAGTGCCATGCCCAAAACGAACGGGGAAAGAAAGTGAGTCAAGTTATCAATGCAATCACAAGTACATTCAAACCCCCCTCCCTGTTGCCCATTCATTCATCTTCCCCTCCCAACATAAGCCCAAACGCTTCACATGCCACACAGGAAGAAACCTAAAAGAGGTTAGTTTAGTTGCTTCATTCAGAACATAAACAGATTTCAACACTAGTTTTTACTTGGTGAGGTTTGTTTTTGAAAAACCATGCTTTTGGATCTGAGACGCAAGGCCTTCTTAATGACTCTTGACATGGGCAGAGTCTATTTTTACAGCTGAAGGTATACAATAGCCAAACAAGGAGAGGCTTTCGCCGTAAAAACGCCATGCAATGTACTGTATATGTGAAGAGTTTATTTGTGGCCTTCACAGGAAGATGAGAGGCAAGACAGCTTTGAGCGATGTGTTGTTTTATTTCTATTTTCAGCTTCTGAAGAATCCTATTATTTACATCCCCTCCCCCAGTGCGCCACCAACACGTTACAATCACAAGACGGTGTTGTATTTTCTTGTGCCTTGACGTTTGACCAACAGAGCAAGGCCTTTCAAAATGTAATGCCATAGACCCGTAAATATGAAGAGTCCCTTAGAAGTGCCTTTCAGTGTATTTTCCACAAATAAATAATTTTTTCTTTGATATATATTGTGAAATGAAAACAATTTCACCTAGGGACCACAATGGAAATAAGTCTTTGGGCTTTGTGTCATCCCTGACTATTTATGTATTTTTAATGTATGACACAGATTATGGTTTCATATCTTTTATATATATATATATATATATATATATATTTATTTATTTATTTATTTATTTAAGTGGTCAAATAAAAAAAATCAAATAATCAATCAAAACCAGATGACTTGAATAGCTCTATTTGAAAAGAATGAATCATTCAATAATGATTCAGGTGATTTTGTAGGGGAGATAATCTGCATAGAAAATAAATTACATGTAGGGATGCGATGCACAATATTGTTCGCCATGATTGTTTTGAATTGCTTTAAAATATGATTTAAATGACTGCAATGTAGTGCAAAATGTGCAGCGCAAGTCTGTCATATGGGCTACATAAAATTATAATGAGAACATTATAATTATGTGCTTGCGACATGTCTTTTAATGGTGAGACTTGTTTTTGTAATCAGGCTCTCAAAAATTTGTATAAATTTGAATTTAGATTTATCGGCTTTCAAATATAAAGAATTATCGGTATCGGCGCATCCCTTATTAAATGCATAGATCAATACAACAGAACAAAAATACAAATGCTTTATATTTTTCAGTTAAGTCTAACTATTCATGTACAGAAATTGAATCAAATGTAAAATTACACTACATGGTCTTTAACAAATATTAATTATATTTAATTTATACATTAAAGCTACAAAAGTGATTTTCCCTGTCTTTTGTTTGATTAACAGCAGCAGGTTTATTCGGATGCTGTTTTCAATATAATGATACACATCCGTTTTCTCTCAATTGTTTACGTTTACAAGAACACTCGCCGAGAAGGGCATTTTGACGTGTATATGTCCGTTTAAGCACAACAAGACGAGAAAGAGACCTGAATTCGGTCTTCGCGTGCTGTCTGCGCACAGAAAACAACGCACAAGCCCCGAATTGAGTTCTTTTTCGCGTGTTCTTGTGCTTGTTTTAATGTTTTAAACTCATTTGAATGTCTAAACTGAGGCCTTAAACACATGCAAATGATAAACTTTCACTCTGTGATGGTTAAACTTAGCAATTAATAATGCAAATCACATGCATTCTGCTGCGTACGGATCACGGACCAACTACGATCCCAACTTGAAAAGCATTTATTTGAAATAGAATTTTTCTGGTAACAACTTAAACTCTATGCTTTAGAAAACCAATTAAATTGAGCAGTTTTGGCAGAACGGTGGCCTAAGAGGTTCATAGGAGTGTAGTGCTCAGACATGTTAAGCTATTGTGCCCATATGGGAAGCAAGCCAATTTATTCACCCTAACAAACAAGTGTTTTGAGCACGTGAAACTAGTCACTGTGATATCTGTGTTTCCAAGTGGATATTAAGATGTCCTGAGTGGTGTTTAGCACATTGCTAGGATGTTTCTAGGAAAGGGAACTAGTTTAATCAAAAACAAACCTGACCATGTTAATGTGGCTGTGAGTAGGAGGGCAGCAGGGTGCAGCAGGCTGGTGAGTTTTTACATTAAAGGCCAGGAGAGGAAGCGTGGCACACCGACAGGCGCTGTTTAAATTGGGTCATATTGCGTCATAGTCATAAGCTCACAGGAGCTCCTCTCACTGTGAAAGCATCACCCACAGCAGCTCCTTGGCACTCGCTATGATCTCAGCAGTGCTTGGAAGTTTTTTAGGTCCCTGTCAGGGCAGGAAAACTGAAGCGTGTTGATTGAAATCCCCTTCATGACCAAACCCTTCTAAAATCTTCCCCCTCTCTAAACGATATCACTTTCGATAATGGGTGTGTTTCACAGTGAGAGAGACAGAGCTGCCGGGCAAGGCGGTGACAGCAACAGGGCGAGAGAGAGAGAGAGTTATAGCCAGAAAGACTGAGAAAGAAAGAGCGTAACAGGAGCAGGGGGTTGGTGGAGAGCCGGTTACACCCTCCACAACACCACTCAATAAGGCCAGGAGCAAGACTTACCGCTCTGTAGGGTCTGTCTGCCTCCTGACAGGACACCCAGAGGCAACGTCCCAGTAGGGGTCAAGCCCTTTAACTGCAACACACTCTCGTTCTCCTCCCTGAAAATACAGATTTTCTGTATTTACATCAATGACAAATAAAAGGGTCCACAAAGTAAAAGGGTTTTGAAATGTGCAAAGCTCTTAGAAATGTACTCATTGTATTCACCATGGTTTCATGTGGACTTTAATAAAAAAAATATTGAAAATGGTATAACAAGGTATTAATGGTATTAATTAATTGACTCGAAATTGTCATGTGGTCCAATCAATAAAAAAACAACTTATTGACCATGACACAGTCATGAGTTTTTCCAAATAAATACATTTTTAGGAAACACTTTATTTTTAAGGTGACACGTGTACTTACTATAGTAATAACAGTAAATGTAGTTAATATTATTCAGTACTTATTTGAGTAAGTACAATGTAACTACATCACCTTAAAATAAAGTGTAACCCATTTATAAATGGATTGACCAACCTTAAATTCATTATTCATATTTTACAAACCTGCATCAAATGCTTTTAAAGAATAGACCCCAATTTTTTTTTTAACAGAAAACACTGTAAAAATGCTACAGTAAAAAACATGTTCATTGGTTAAATGAAAGTTAGCTTACCATATACGGTGAAAAACTGTAAATGGTTTAATATCACTGCTTACATTTTATTACATACATTTTATTTAGTTAATGTATATTGCATTATTTTATTTGACTGGTTTACTGTGTTTTACCCTGATGGTGTTTTGTCTCTTTCTGTGTGTGACCCTGTACACCATCTATATATTGTACTGACCATGTTTTATGGTCAGGTTGCTTAAACTGAACCGATTCATCATGAGGTTTTCTATTGTGCCACCTGTATTATTGTTGTGGTTATCAGTACTTTTTAAGGTAAAAAGACAGACTTTAGTAGTTAAAGTAGGTATATTATCATTATATCACTTAATAAAATATACAGGCATCCTGTAAAGCTGGAAACACTGTCACAGTATTTCTTTTTCTGGCTTTTTTCTTTTCTTTTTCTGGCTTTTTTCTTTTCTTTAAGTTTTTTTACCGCAAGTATAACAGGATATTTTTACAGTGGTCAACATCTCTGTTGTGGAGAAAGGAGTGTGTGCGCGTGTCAAATTCCTAGTATGTGAAGTGTGTATATTCACCTAAGAACAGAGAAAACTCTGGCCATCTTGCCAATGGCACGAATCTTATTTCGGATCACCTCCTTGCGGACTGCCGGGGTGCCACCTGCCACAAACGGGGAGGGACAGAGGAAAACAAAAAATAGAGAGAAAGAAGGTTAGAGTCTAGTTTCATTGATGGTACATGGGGACAATTTTGCTATATATCCGTCTACTTAAACCTACCTTGTCTTGTAAATTTTATGAACTAATTTTATCCAGAATTTTTTTGTATAAAAGTAAAGAGGTAATCAACATCATTACCTGCAAAGTGCAAACTAGTCCTAATCTGATGGCTAGAGTCAGACATCCTGAATCCCATAAGGAATAAATAAACCCCATTTCAAAACTTAAAGGCTCACAGACACACAGAGGAAGTGTGTCAGGCCAAGTTAAAATTATGCACCATTCAAAAAAAAAAAAGGAAGGACAAATCAAATGGGCATCAAGAACAGTAAATGGGACACTGTATTCCTTCATGACAGCTCCCCAGATGTGTGCTCAGAACGGGTTCATCTGGTTTCATTACAGCAAGAGAGGCATCACTGTACTTTCATGGCTCTTACGTTAAGAGCAGCAATTCATTTTGAATCACTGACGTGACTGAATGGAGACCCAGTTCGGGGTAGTTTTTGAAAACGGTAAAGGGCGATGCATGTTTAGCTAGAAGGTTTGTAATAAATTTGATAATTTAAAAAAGAAACAAAAAGAACATGCTTTGAAGGCATTCATGATGTAAACTAAGCACCGTCTATGTACTTCCTGTCTCTGCAGTGTTATATGCATCAAACAGATAAAACAATAAAGCAGGATGCCCATTTAATCACACAACGCAGAACACGGAGTTCATATTTAAAGCAACTTTCACACGAGAATATAGTGTCCTAAATAGAATTATATGGGTTATTCACGGAGGACTAATGCACACTAATCAGAGAACTATTATTTGATGAGATGAGGGGCATGCAGATATATATTTAACAGAGCTGAAATCCATTTGAGGAGAAAAAAAGAAAGTGAAGAAAGGGAGATATTTATGCGAGAAAGCTAATGGAGCACACTTTTTGTTACATTTAAATTCAAGCAAATGTTGATTACATTATTATTGCTGAGTGGAAAGTAAAAAATCGTACCAAATATTATGATATACAAAAATGTTTCAGTCTGGGGTGAGTTTTTTATTTTGAAAGAAATTGTCACTTTTGATCAATTTAATGCATCCTTACTTAAGAAAAGTGCTAGAGACATTATTAATACTACAAAAGTTCATATTTCAAATAAATGTTGTTCTTTTGAACTTTCTTTTTTATATCAATGACGTTTGGCAATCATAACAGTTTCCTTAAAGGAAAAACAGATCATTTTTAGAATGGGTCAGAATGAGCATTGAAAATAATTGTTTTTCAACAATTGTTATATCTTTGTTTTTCAAAATATTTAAACTTTATATTAGTTAGGAGTAGTTTTAGCTGTGGTATCGAAATTGGAATCAAGAATTGTTAAATTTCACTGGTATCTAATATATTAAATAACCGTTTAAGCATTTTTTGGAGGGGCAAGTAAAAATCTGAACCACAATTAAAAAAATCTTTAGCAATCATTGATCCCTGATCCCTCACCTCTAAAAAGAAGTGTTATCAATTTTAAGTCTAACTGAATTTATTTGGAGTAAAATAAAAAAATAAAAAAGCTACAGTGCAGTAAAAACAGCTTTACATGTTCTTACCTTCACATGTGTCGTCTCCCTCTGACATAAGCTCATCATCGGAGCAGATGTTTAACACGTTGACCAGCATCTCTGTTACTGAAGGCACATACATTGAGAGAGAAGACATTACATGGACCACCAACATATGCTTTCTGAAACACAAATTGGTCTACTACTATTTATTACATGCTTAGGCTCTAATACTACATACATGTCATACTTCATAGTGTTCAACATAAGGACTATGGTCATTTTGTACAGATATGAATTTGCTTAATCCATCTCTTAGTTAGCAGCTGTTTTGTCTGAATGTTTCCTTGAGGATCAATAAAATAAACCATCAGAACTGATAAATCGCAAAACTAATTTTTAAAACCACATCCAATAATTCTGCAAATACACTTCTAATAGGTGTCAAAATCAATGTAAAAAAAAAAAAAAAAAAAAAAACTAAGCTGTTCCCATTTGCTCTTTACCTTTCTCCCCGACGAAGGGCAGTGACCACGTGAACACATCCATGAAGTTGGGCAGCCAGTACGGGTGAGGGGAGCAATTGAACTGCCGGATGTTCATAACGTTGTTCTCGTATTTCAACACAGCAGCTTATGAGGTGAAAGGACAAAAAAAGAAAAAAAAGAAAAAGAAAATATGTTCTGATTTTGTGAGACTTAATATTTAATTAAACTTGAAAGAGAGAGAAAAAAAAAGACATTTTCATTTTAAAACTGGCTTGCCTTGTTGAGAAATTGCATACGGCTACGGCTAAATATTACACTGCACAGCATGATAGCACAGGCTCAAAAGCTTTTTGAGAGTTCTTACCTTTATTGTTATACACATCTAAGTAGTTTGGTGCAGAGAAGATTGTGATTAATGAGGGGAAGCCTGTCGTCTGACTTTTTCTGTACATTCGATACCTAAGGAGGTCAGTGAAATGGGACCGAAATTGTCAGGGGTTCATTTAAAAACAGCTGTTAAAATTGAATTGAAGTTCTTGCTGCAAATAGCCTGGTTTAAGAGTGTGCTGGGCCGTGAACTCACCCTGCATCTTGGGCTTCATGTGCTCTTATAACTGACAACAAGTTATTATTCATCAAAAAGTCACATACTGCAGGGTAGCTGTTAGAGACGGAGAGAGGTGTAATTAGCGATTCCAGTCCATCAGTCAAAACGCCATGACTAACATTGAGAGGTGCGACTGTGAATAGGGACTGAGTAGGCAGCTATCGAACAAATGTGCATGTGGGTAGACTGTCAGCTGGAGTACCTGTAGAAATAGGAACATCCTCTCACACTGTTGTGACAAAAGTGCTCTGAGCTCTTTTCGCTGCCGTAGTCCTCACCAGGGTCAGACCACAGCAGGTCGCACATCGGCCCGAAAGCTGGCGGCTCTTTAAACCGGTCTAACTGCAGAGCAAAGCAAACAATCAGACCATCTTATCCATCACTGCAACAATACAAACTCAATCTGTTTGAATTCGCTTAAAATCTACATGATCGGTGAGGGATTACTGAAAGAACAAAATCGCAAATCATCATCTTGTTCAAGCCAGTGCCAATTGCGTTGATGAATAATTTGTCAACGACATTTTATCCCTGACGAAAACAAGATAAAATAAAATCCAGTATTGAATGACAGAAACTATGACGAAAATCTATTTACATTTTCGTCAGATAAAAACAAGATGAAAATGTTGGGTAGGGACGATTTTGGGAAGAGATCCAGTCAGAACTGATGTCAAACGTGGTAGATGCGCACATTTGAATTGTAACGTGCTTATCAACCTGACGGGTTGACATCAGTTGGCATACACTTGCTGCATGTCTCATACAAAAAATTTAAATGTCTGGGAGAAAGAGAAGAGCAGACATATATGGATGAATCTGAAAAAGCGTGACGACGTAAAAAAGAGCTCACACAGAAAGCCGCCTCTCAAACACCAGTGCACGAGTACTGAATTGAGCTCTCTTTCGCATCTTTTAAAATGTCTGACTAAATGTAAACGACTAAAACTAAAAACATTTTGTCAAAAAAACTGACCAAATCTAAATTTGCTGTCAAAATTAACACTGGTCCAGGTTGATAATAATAAATAGGGATGACTCAGGGTGGTCGCTAGTTGTCCAACAACAATTTCAAATGATGAGGTAGACAAGTGAGTTTTTGAATTTTTTTTTTATCTTTCTAATCTTAGCGGCAGTGCTTTAAATGGGATCCATTTAAAGATGCAACTTCTCAGAGAGGGTTTCAGCATGTTGACAGCGTGCTGTGATTTAGCGGCACAACTCCCCCCTTTAAAAGCATCATCACTACACGGATCAAAGCGCTGCCTTTGTAACATATTCACCATCATCTGGCACTGTCATACCCAGGACACAGAATACCATAGGTACACAGGACACAAAGTGATGCTTCACATCTTACTTACTTTCCGGATGTCGTCGAGGCAGGTGACCTCGGGGGACAGGCCTCCGTGAACGCAAAGGAACTGCTGGTTGAGCAGAGCGGCCAGGGGAAGGCAGTCAAAGGCCTCCATGCAGGCATCATACACCAGCTCAGAGTACTTAATCTTGCCTGCAATAAGAGAACCACAATAAAAACACTCATGTATATCTGAACAGACGCAAGCGGGGTGAATGAACTTTTCAAGCCAAGGCTGTCACGCTGTCCGTTTGACATATCGCAGTAATGCTGGGTGGGTGAGGGCAGATGGGCTTGCCAACTTTCCAAGGCTGGAGGAATAGATGGAGGAGGAGGAGGATGTTGCATGCCTTGTTAGGTGATGTTACAGCAAAACCGCGTGCTAATTGGGATGAACTGAAGAAACCAGCGTGGCGGGAGGCTGATTAAAAGGAAGCTGAGGCCAGACACAGGTTACACGTGGAACAAGGGCCGCATGCCGCCGCTAAATCCTGACATTTTAGAACGGGCCAACCGTGCAGAGTATTGTAAACAGCAGCACTGACAGATGAGAAACAGGCTGCCTCGTGATGAGCAAAGAACAACATTGCAACGCACCGGCAATTGGTGAAGTAGCACATCATAATCAAAGGCTCTTTGATTAGCTCGATGGAGAAACAGCCAGGGATACAAATTAGGGATGTGCAGCATGACTTAATTTCCATAACTTATAAACGGACATTTTGTAACTGAATAGTAGTCTCTGTAAGTGATCCATCTGAAACAGTCTAATTAATTTATGTATTAATCAATCATTCAAACAAATCCCATACTGAATGCTGTAGATAAATAGGTCATATATATGTGATGTGCTTACCTCGCATTATAATCCTTATGCCAATATAGCCAATTTATTACAAATCAATTGAATCAATAAGCAGTGCAGGACCAGTAACTACAAACTCAATACTATTAACAAAATGCCTCAAAAGTCAGTTAACAGACTATAAATCAGAACATGTCAAGTTATTACTGTTCGTTACCATGGCCAATGCTTGAGCGTCTGTGATTGAAAGTGCTTCTCATGTATGGAAAGTATTTGTACAGAACAAGCAGTGGAAATCACAACTATACATTATTTAAAGGAACACTCCGACTTTTTGGGACTTTAGCCTATTCACCTTATCCCCCAGAGTTAGATAAGTCCATACATACCTTTTTCATCTCCGTGCGTGCTATAAGTCTGTTTGACGCACCCACCGCTAGCCTAGCTTAGCACAAAGACTGGATGTAAATGGTTGCAGCTAGCATACTAATCCAAATAAGTGACAAAATAACGCAAACATTTTCCTATTTACATGTTGTGATTTGTATAGTCACAGAGTGTACAAAAAACAGTCACATGAGACACAGACATATTTTAACCGTATAAATACTGGGAACTATATTCTCTGAAGGCGAAGCACTGCTACTTGGGCGGAGTGATCACCGCAGCACCTGAGACGCGCTCTCTGCTCCTCACCACGGCGCGTCTCAGGTGCTGCGGTTATCACTCCGCCCAAGTAGCAGTGCTTCGCCTTCAGAGAATATAGTTCCCAGTATTTATACGGTTAAAATATGTCTGTGTCTCATGTGACTGTTTTTTGTACACTCTGTGACTATACAAATCACAACATGTAAATAGGAAAATGTTTGCGTTATTTTGTCACTTATTTGGATTAGTATGCTAGCTGCAACCATTTACATCCAGTCTTTGTGCTAAGCTAGGCTAGCGGTGGGTGCGTCAAACAGACTTATAGCACGCACGGAGATGAAAAAGGTATGTATGGACTTATCTAACTCTGGGGGATAAGGTGAATAGGCTAAAGTCCCAAAAAGTCGGAGTGTTCCTTTAAGGGTATTCTATTTGTTAACTTAGGATATTGATATAGGATTAAAAAAAAAGAGGGCTGAGAAAACTGCACGGTGGCAGCTGGAAGCATATTTATATTAGCCAAAGTATTTAATGAACGCATACAGAGCAAGGACTTTATAAAATTGCATAAATGACAGGTGTTACAATTTTGCACAGATTCTGTGTGGGTCTGCTTATGATCATCAGCTGCTGGTGGAAGGGTTTCAGTTAGCTGTCAGAGTTTGTCATGACTGAAATGATGGCTGATGTAAATCTAAGTGGGGAGGGAAGAGCCCTGACGAGTGCCGAGGGATTGTGATTGAGCTCTGTGCCTGTGGCCCGTCATCCAATACTCTCAAGACGACATGAGCTCTCTCGGGATGCCATGGAAAAAATTGCCATGACAGAGTTGAATGATAGAATGGGGTAAAATCTCATTTCGCTCTCTTTATAACGTACACACACACACAGTGTTTCTAAAGAGCTGAGCTTACATTCTTGTTTAAAGGTGAAGTACTCCGTGAGATGCCGACACTCGTGGTTGCCCCTGAGGAGGAAGAGGGTGGTTGGGTGGTTGATCTTCAGGGTCCACAGATAGAGCACACACTGCAGATGCAAACAGAACACACACATCACCAAAATGAACCACATACACTAGCAATACTTTCATATATATGATAAAAACAGCTGATGATCTGAGCAGATTATATCCCGTCAATCAAAAGGGGGCGGGAAACCATGTCACTCTGCAGTGCACACACTGTTAATGCAATGTTAAAGCAGGCTTTATTTGAACCTATGAATACCCTATGAAACAATAAATGGCATTTTGACGGTCTTAAATGTGATGTGACAGATCGCTGCAACTCAGTTCAAGCGGCAGCGTTAGCCATCTCTTTCTCTAAATGCATGTTACAGCATGAAAAAACATGCATGAATATCAAAAGCTTTGTTGAAAGATACAGTACAACTTACCGAAATGTATCATGACTTGTGTAATCGCTCAGTTTTTCAACTGCTGAACGACATCAATAAAACAGCTTGTCACTTAACAGCTTGTGAACAATGTCACTTTACGTTGCATGTACCTAAGGAAAGTTATCCAATGCTCAGAGTTTGTTAGTTAGCTATAAAAACACTAGAGAGGAGCTTATTAAAATAAACAGTAGTTGAATATAATAATTTGGGCTCTGTTGTTGTTAACCTCTAATATTATAGTAATGTACCAAATGAGAGGGATCCCTGTATAGTTTAACTTTAGTGAATTAGTTGGGGGATATTTTTTTCCTTAAATTTTTTTGAATAATCAGGTATCAGTATCTCTAATCATTAGTATTTTGATTAAGCTCAAACTAATATGCAGGTTCAGTGTTTAAGAGGATTATACCTCCATTACTCCTGATATTTTATTAAAGGAATAGATCACACAAAAATGAAAATCCTTCTATTATCATAACAGACCACTAATATTGACAGTATGCAAATTTCCTTTATGCACGGAATACACTCTGTAAAGAATACTATATCGGATAATGCAATGGGGTTTACTTGTCCTTCCATTTCAAATAGTTCCATCAACAAATAAAATAAAATGTTCTTAACTCTAAGTACTCCAATCAAATGAGTTAAGACATTTTTACACAAAACTGAATGCCATTTTTTCCCCATGAATTAATTTGATTTTATATCTATTTTCAAGATTGTAAAATATGTTTTAAAATAGAAGGGTCTTGATGAACAAACTTTCAAAAACACTTTTCAACAGTAGCGTACCATTTATACAGTAAGAATACAGTAAGTAGTATGCTAGTATCCACAACTTTAGACTACCGCTAGCAGACAAGAATTTCCAAAACCGAATCTCACTCCAAACACACTGAACCGCAGACAAAGAACATTTTGCTACGTTAAGCAAGACTATGATTTCAATCTTTTCACATTCTCTTCTGATATCATCTCTCAACTAGCAAGCACTGAATATTGTTTTCTTGAAAAACATTGGCCTGTCTTGTCATAGGCATGCTATCCCATTAAACACCTGCAAGGCTTTTGGGTTCACACCTGGTTAGATTAATCACAGAACACCGCTGTATAACAGTGGACAGGATGTTTTCTCTATCCTCTCAGGAAAGATACGCTGCGTTTAGGTTACAGTTATCTTTAAAAAGGCCAGTCCTATAGTGAAAGAAATACTGAAAATAAAGCGTACTCCACACAGATCTGGATGTCGGGGTGGGGCGAAGTCTGGTGGCCTAACCTACAAAACGTTTGATGACTGCAGTGTCTCAGTCAGAGGGCATTAACAGGTGGTGTGGCGGATGACTGAAGTTCAGTCCTTTGTGGTCTGTGATGTCCAGGGAGGGAGTAGGAACTTAGCGTGGCCTTTATTGTGAAACACACATGCTCTCTTTCTATGCGTCTCAGGTGGCCCGCGGCCCTGAACCCTCAACTGTGTTTGATGGTATTGAGCAGCGGTGTGTCTGCTCTCTTATGCCGCCTCTTTTAACCATGACATTTCTCCCGTCCCTGAACTTTGCAACCAAAGCGAGATGCAGAGGTGGAAGCTTTTTGAGGACTCGCATTCGACGGCCCATTCAGAATGACAGCAGACATCAAGGCTAACGATATAAAAGACTGCAGCTGATAAACTGGACCAGAATTTTTCTCAAACCAATTTACGCGTAACCTCGATGTTGAGAAACGCTTTCTCTGGCCTACAGGATGACAGGATCAATAATCCTTTAATGCCATCTGCTTCATCATTGTGGTTGCTTTACAATGATGACACAGTGCTACAGGCCGAGGCGACATGCTGATTGCATCATCACAATGCATCCTGGTACAACAGAGGCTGTTTGAAAAGCACGGCCACATGGCATCTTCTGAAGGCCAAGTTACATTAAATGTGAACATCTTAAATGTTTACAATGTGCAAGATGTGTTCACAAAGCCTTAATTACAAAATACTTTTTATAGTGGATTACAAAGTGGTTTAAGGGTGTATTCACACCAGGAAAGTCCGATAGTTCACTTGCTTTGGTCCGGACCAAATTATTATTATTATTATTTTTTTGGTACGGTTCGCTTTCACACTGCTCTTTTTGCAAGTGAACCAAAATTTGTAAACAAAACCACACGTGTGCTAAGGTCGTCCATTCATTGGACAAGGATTCTCAAGTAGGGAAATCAGGAAGTGCAAAAAAGGCTCAGCATGGAGATATTTCGTACTGCAATATTTGTTATTTTACTAATTTTGTGTTATTCTGTACAAACGCAATATGAAGAAACTGCGCAGAAGACGGATAAGGTATAAAGTTTTCATTCATAGAGAGGGGCTATGTTCACACATTCAAATAATGAGATTCTTATTGTATATACTGCTAACAAGTGCTGTCAATGTTAACGCTTGCGATTAAGTTTGTCCAGTTTAACGCAGCATCATCCTTGTATATCGTTACATTATATGAACTGCAAAAGCTTTTTTTGCAACTATGCGCGATTAGACTAAAGAGTATGTGAATGTCCTGATGCACACACTCATTCATTCATTCCATTCCAATGACGCACACACACGACGCGCAGAAAGACGCGCAACAGTATCGTGTGGCCAGACAGCGCACCGGAATGGAATTCTCTTTCGCACTTGAACAACAATAACACAAACCATTATGCCAAAATCTCCGACTACGGAAGCCTGTTAACTCAAAGGCGCAGTGCTTTCTTGCAATTGGGTCGGTTCATGTTCACACCGTAAACGAACCGTACCAGAGTTCGTTTGGAACCGTACCGAGACCACCTCTTCAGCTGGGTCTCGGTTCGGTTGTTTGGTCCGCACCCGAGTTCGATTGCTGTATTCACACCTGCCCAAAAGGTCCGCACCAAGGGGGAAAACGAACTAGAGTTCGATTCAATCGAACCAAACAAGGCAGGTGTGAATACACCCTAAAACACAAACTAGCCTCTTTTAATTAAAACAATATTCTGGATTTAAAGTAGATTTGGCTATTGACAACATTTGTGGCATGCACCAAAATAAATTAACAAAAGTAAATTTTTAATTTAGACAAAATCTAAATCCCAAAATAAAGTCAGGGTAGTTCAATTTGGGTAACTGAACTGTTCAGGGTGTTATGTTTTCAGTAAAGTTTTTCGAATACTTTTTATGTTCCGCCTCTCAATGTTTCAGCCAAACAAATGTTATATAAGGCTACTTTAGCATCCTTTTTGATCACACTGCTGACATGTTTACCTGTAGTAGCTTTTCCATGATGTGTGCACAAAATAAATGTTGACATGGTCAAATGCATCACACGAGTTGAACATCATAAATTCAAATTCGATTTGTTTTGGCATTTAGACAAAATATATTTGGTTGTCAAAATGTCAGTGTATCACTATGGCATGCTGTTGATTACCAGAGAAAATAAGGTTTTGTCCACCAGTTAAAAAAATAAAATAACCAAAACTTTGTGCAGTACTTATAATGGAAGACAAGACATTCTGGACAATTTAAAAAGCATTAATCTGAAGCTAAACGTTTGTTAATGTGTTATGTTGATTTTTTTTCTTCATTTTTTTTGTTAGTAGCGGGAGAAGAACGTCTACGAATGTAACTTCTGCACATGCAGTTTTCCCCAAATAACCCTTGTGTTATATTTGTTCCAATGTGAAAATTACCATATTTACATGCTATGGGGGAAGTGAAAGATCACACCAGTCTCATGTTAGCAGGTATAAATGTAAATTCTAGTGACTGTAATTTCAATAATATGTGTGTATTTTAACTTTTCTTCATGTATAATGCCTTGGCAAATAGACTTTTTTGCAAACAGAGAAGCAAGTTTAAATGATTTTCTATGGTATTCGACAGCATGCCACTGATGCTGCTGATAGAGCTTAATATGTATTGAACTGTAGCATTCCATTAAATATGCTTATTTAGGCATAAAATAGAAGTTGTTGACCACTTAACCCTATTTTACATAAAGTGCGACCATTACAGAGTAACACTCACCTCAATACTGAAATAGCCTCGATCCACATAGTCTCCCAAAAATAGATAGCGTGTGTTTTGCGGGGAACCCCCCACCTCAAAAAGCTTCATCAGGTCGAAGAACTGCCCATGGACATCTCCACACACTGAAGATGGAGACAAAGCATAGAAAGACAAACACTTGAAAATGAAACAAAAACAGAATGACATCATCGGAAGTATGTTGCCAAACCAAAAACATTGGAAAACCTTGTGAAATGAAGAAATATCACATTGTGTCCATGCAAGTTCATCTTAAGGTGGAGGAAAAAAATTGGTAGCAGAAATGCTAAGATTTGAATAACTGATCTTAAAACCACTAAACGGAAGTGTACAAATAATAGGCCAACCCAAAACAGGAGAGTGAAAAATATTATTAGTGGTCACCCTAAACAGGATGTGGGCCAAACCAACATCATTTCCTCTTAAACCTCCACAAGGTAAAAAGTTGTAGAAAACAGCAAGCAGATTTTTTTTTTGCTTTTCTCTTGTAGGCCAATTATTACGCACACAGTGCGCGTTATGAAAAACATGAGTGTGCAAAGGGGGGGTTAAAGGGGGTTAGATGTGGATAGACATGCCCATTTATATCCACACACCTGTTTGTGTGTTTGCTCGAGTGTATGGCGAGTGTTGGGGGTTTCCTGTGGCCTCCGCCGGGGAATTAAAGTGTGGGGGTGTGTGCGAGAGAGTCTAGGATGCAACTGTTTCTCTGACCTTTATAGAGCAGCCACATTAGGTTGCTGTGGAAGACTAGCTCCATATGAAAATAATCACACTCTTCTCGCTGGCTTGAGGATTATGTTGAGGTCAAGACTAAACCTTAAAGATTAAGGATGACATCAGAGATGCCCTATCAAGTAACCGTAGAACCTTGAGGGTACTTTCATAATGTTCTTCATGATAAGAACCATAGCACTAGGAACCAACAAACTGACCTTGATCTAATTTGGCATCTAAGGAAGCAGGCATTTGGGCGAGCACCGTCAACAGTGGGCATCGTGTTTGTCTGTGATCGTACGGCACTAGGTGTATGGAAGAACCTGCGAGAACCACATCCTGGATGTAGATTCTGCTTGTGAATCACGACAGGTTTGTAGTGTCACCACCGCACAGTGAGTCATCAGAACAAGCAGCACACAGCTGAGTGAGCAATAGCCTACCTGTGATGGGGGCCTCCACTTCCAGCATGCACTTCTCCTGGCGGAGGATGTTGGCGCCGTCGTTGATGATGCGCAGGGCCAAGTCCTCCTCCAGACGGCCCTCTTTCACCAGGTGGCTCTTTAAAAGCTCCACCTTGGGCTTGCCGTCCTCGTACAGCTCTTTCATGGTGAGCCGCGTCGTGGGAGGGTACGGCACCGCTGCGGGAAAGAGGAGAAAGGAAGACTCAATTCTTTACTCTTGTTAGTCACAGGGAGACCCTACTGGCGAGTATTATACATTAGAAAAATACTAAGCAACTACAAGACGACATTATGTGTGTTTTTGACTGTACAAAATGGATTACAGCTTTGTGCCGGAGCACAGACCCAGACCCCATATTGATTTGGAGCTACCCGTTAGAACGTCGCAACAAATGTCTAAATTTAAAGCAGCATGTTTACAGTCACGACCATGCAGAGTCAATAACAGTGTGGGTGAAGTCTCAGAGTCTCTCATAGGATCCGAGACCGGGGGTGTCTCCAAGTTAAGGAAGTGCAGCTCCTTCACAAATTCAAAGCCAGATGGTGTGTGATAAAAGTGCTGAACCATAAACAGAAAGGTGTTACTCCAAATATAAATATCTCAGCCCAAGATTTTCTGATCCACTTTCAGGCTTCCATCAAAAGTAACTCAAAGCTTCTATCTATATTGTTCAAACTAGATTTTTAAATGTTCAGAACCTGAACCAGCCTAATTATTCAAGATTTTAAGACTTACTGTGCGTTCACACCGGACGCGAATAGCGCGTCAAATTCGCGTCTACCGCGTCTAGTTTGACGCTTGACCACTTTGTGTTAATTCGCGTGTCAATGGCGAAATTGACGCGCGTAAAAACAAAAGTTTGAAGCGAAATTTACGCGCGTCAGAGGCGAAATCCGGAGGCGAAAGTTTCGAAACCCGTTGGCGGCCATCTTTTTAGATGTTTATCGAGCATTAGCATTAGCATTATTCGAGAGAGTCACCGCTCGTATATGCTCTGGAGAGCAGAAGCAGCTCCGTAGGGGACATCGTCGCTGTACTCGGGTCCACCAGAACCTCCGGAGGGTTTCAGGAGTTTCACAATTTGCTCCAGGAGCTAGGTTTGGTGGACCTAATGGTGAGGACGCTGATGAGGACAGCGTAGGCCGTATAAGCCCTCGGCCTCGAGTGGTCTAGCTATGCCTGTCGAGCCCGCGCTCTACAGCCCGGCGCGAGGTTCACCCTCGCCCGCATCCACCTAATCTGTCATTTATTTTTGTTTTGATAATAAATGAAGCCAGCCTCCAAAAGTGATTAATCTGTCCTGTGATTTTTCTCTCTCTCTCACACATCACTGTCCAGACACGAACTTATATGTTGGTTGTCTTTACATTATAATAATATTTCATATAATCTAGATATGGAATAAATAGCATTCAATGCAAAATGAATATGTCTCATATATTGAAATCAAGTTTTATGTGATAAAATATTTGCTTTGTTGTGCATTAGAACCACAGTCATATATTACAAAATAATTTATTGAAGCATCCAGATACTTCACCACGTGACAGCAGCAAGCAGCTAGGCTCCTGATTGGTTAACGCGGCGCGAATTGACGCAGAAGTTCAGATTTTTCAACTCGGGCGGCAGACGCGAATTCGCGTCAAACGCGTGAATGCACAAATAGCACTAACTAAATCATTCGCGCGTAACGCGCTTAACGCGCCAGACGCTCAATTCGCGCCATTCGCGCGAACTTGACGCGCGAATGAGGCGTATTCGCGTCTACCGCGCCGCGCTCTACGCCTCATTCGCGCCGCAGGATTTTTTACGCGCGTACCGCGTCTTTGCATTGACTTAACATTGAAATCACTCGCGCCTGACGCGCTATTCGCGTCCGGTGTGAACGCACCTTAAGTGTTGGAAAAATATGCAGTTTTGCACATCACTATTGCTTGCCTGTGCAAAACTCGCCACAATGTTGCTAGGGTGTTCTGGGTGGTTGCCATGGCATTGCTATGGTTGCTGTTCTGAGTAGCTGCTAAGGTGTTCTGAAAAAGTCAACATGATTTATTTTCTTCTGTTTTATTGTCCACCAGCCAAAAACCGTACAATAACCCACACGATTTGAGGTATCGTTCATTGTCACAGCATAAAGGGTGCGGTATGGGTTACATGCTAATGTTTAATACTAAGCATTATGGATTTTGAAAACACCAAACCCTAAAATTATTTTTTTCCCCTAAATGTCACGATGCAAGGGTGTTCTGGGTAGAAGCCATGCCATTGCTATACAGTTGCTAAACTGTTCTGAGTTGCTCATAGGTGGCTTATTAAATAGAGGCCACTCCATCTTCTAAAGTTGTGCATCTTTGGAAGCAGAGCCGCTCACAAAGTTACAAAAAATGCTGAGCGAGAGTGAACCTGAGTGCTGAACACTGAGGGGTGGGGCAGCATATATTTTCTAAATTTTTTCTCTTTTGGCAAAAAACTGAAGCTACCATTTTCGTCCGATAATTCTCTGTGGTCTAAATTTTGGTGCACCCCTATTAAGCAGCAATAACCTTAATCTCAATATAGTGTTGGTAACACATTATGAAAGTTAGCATTATGGTTTGTCACGATCGGATCAATTTGTGATTTTTCTGATACTCTATTAATTTTCTTGATCGGTGACTGTGAATAAATTGACCAATGACATTGTTGCATGGCATGATTTGCATTTAACTGGTTTAAGAAAAAAAAAAAAAACGAACGCAAAAACAATACTAGCACGTGATGCAACACTAATAAGCATTGCTTCAATTCTTTCCCTGAATACAGGGAAATTAAACTGATGTGTGAAACTTGGTTGCAAGACGACAATCTATTACTCAATTCATTACGATAACTCAAAACATACAGTTTGCAATGAGGTTGTCTGAAAAGTGCAATGCCAAGCTGCCTTTCAGAAACTAAAAGTGAAACATATGCACGGTAAAACGGTTACATTTATTGGTCTGAATTTGGGACTCTCCCACAAAGCTATGTGGGTTATCAGAACACATATGGCCACAGCTGGTCCCGTCCCTTCCCCCAACCAACGCGCACAGGCCTTGTTAAGAAGACATGAAGCCCTTGCCGTTGTGGAGAAGACAGCTTAAACAAACCCTTGACAACCTGGGGGCTGGGATTTTACATTCAGACACCGTGCGCATGGGCGAGCGGCATGCAAACAAATGCCTGCTGGAATTGCTCTGCAACCCCCCGAGCCTTGAGCTATTTTCAGTTGCAGAAATTCCACAACATTCAAACCAGTTTAAGAGGAGTGGGGAAGTTACGTCCTGAAGTTAGGGTGGGGTAGAAGGCCAGCTGTTGGCATCGATACGGAATCCTCTCCGCTAGGGTCACAGGCCAGGTTGGCACGACTCGCTCTTCAAAAGAATGTGGGTCTGGCCGACGGCCACAGCTTTCAGCGCTGGGACCACAGGCATGATAGACCACAATAAAGCTTCGAGCTCAGATGACAGGAGGAACCTTCCAGGGACTCCAATAGCAGAATTAGGATCAATTTGGGTTTACAAAATCAACGATTTTTCGATGACTTCGGAGTCTGCTCAGGCAAAAATAGTCGGGGTGTTGGTCTTGTTGCATGCCAGTATGAGGAAGAGAAACAAGGTGAATCTTTCATGCTTGACAGAATAAAGGAAGGACACCTGCTCATTTGCCTATATTAACTAAAGCCGTAACTGGCCTATTATCTGGATTGAGAGTTGAGTTCACTCTTCTGCAGCAGCGGCGGCGAAAATGTGTAACCTCTCAGTGTTGTGCATTTGCATGTGAAAATTAAGCCCTCAGGGCGGGAGGGGGATTTTACTATCAAAGTACCAACATACTGAGTATATGATCTCAAAACCTAACCCAATGAAGGCCCACTTAAAAGGAGGTCAGTTTTCAAGAACAAAAACGGTGCTTTTGAACTTGGTCATTTCATAGCTGTCCAACCATAAAAAGTGTAAAGATGCATTGCATTCAAAGATGCATTTGAAACCAAATGTATTTGGATTCTGTAATCTTAAAGGAATAGTTCAACCAAAAAATGAAAATCCGGTGATCATTTACTCACCCTCATCGTTCCAAAGATGTATGAATAACTTTTTTCTGTAGAACATAACATTTTGAAAAATATTTTCAATCTTTTCACTAATGGAAGTCAGTGGGGTCTAACGTGGTTGTTTTGGACCTCACTGGCTTATTGTTTAGACAAAGAGATTTGAAACATTACTGAAAATATCTTCATTTTTTATGCAGAACCAAATAAGTTGGTGATTAAAGGATGATAGAATTTTTTATTTATGGATGGACTAGCCTATCCCTTTAAGAATCATTTAGACTAGACCGCATGTACATTAATAAGGAAGCTAGAAAAGTCGTTACTTCCTGTGTCAGCCTTATCTGTGGTTTTATCGCACTAACCGTCTTTTGACTGAATATTAGAGAACATTTTAGGTAAGAAATCTCATGGACTTGTTCTGGGCAAGGATGACGAGAGCTATCTTGGGAGGTACAAGCGAACCTAGAGAGACGCCGTTGTGTGAGACGGGCCCGAGGTCCGTTAATCATGCATGAGGACAGAATAATTACACAAGCAGGGTGACGTTGACCCTGACAGCTCTAGTTTCTATCTGTAAATAAGCCAAAAGGTCAAAACATCAAATTTACCAGCAGCCTGACAGGGGTCCAAAACTTTATAGCATCAGCTGCATAACTCATTTCCAGACGACATGCATTAGATGGTGATTTGATTTCATGTTGTTGAATGTTGATAGGAGATGCTCCAGTCAACCAGCCATCAAAAAGTCAACCGACCGGTTGCCGATCGTGCGCTCAAAACAAAAACAAAAAGTTCTGATTGATGGCGTTTTTTTGTGTGGCTGATCTCTGTTCTGGACTTGTACACAAACTGCTTTGTAATATTTCCACACAAATTACATTTTGGGAAATTATTGCAAAGTCTATAACCATGACGTTAGACTTTGTTTACAGTAGAATCATTTGTTTACATATACATATTTTTTTCCTGAGTGCAATATTTGACAAATTATAGTAATTTAATTGAGAATACTATGGGCTAGTTTTTTGTATTTTTGACTATCGAACATTTTACAGAAGGGATGGGAATAATTTGTTTACAAAGGTTTTCTAGTGCTGTTTTTGA